AGAGCAGGAAAAAATCACAAGTACTCAAATATATTGGCGCCTACGCAACATGCTGCTACAGAGTATAAATAGTTGCGTTCACCTAACAGTTGTTTGTTTCACCTAAAACTAATCAAGATAGATATAAAGTGATGTATATATAAATGATCAGGATGACGAGACGACTTGAAATCCGTGCAAGCTGATTAAAAATTAAGATATCGTGATGAAACTTGGTACACATATTCCTTGGCAAGAAAGTAAAAACTAGTAGAGATAGGCCCATCGGACCAACGATTCACATTAAGAAGGGGCACTTCTGATTTGAAAATCTGTAAAAAGTGGGCGTGGCTCCGCCCCTAATAAGTTTCTTTTATATATATGTATCTTCCAAATCAATAAAGCTATATCACTCAAATTTGCACAGCACAAATGTATTCAACCCTTCTTACGATAGTGTGAAACAAGGTGAAATCTGGTGAATATCCCTCCCACACAGATGGCACAAGAGGGCTTTTTAAGAACCGGTATAAAAATTTAACGATGAGGGTGTCAACGCCCACTTTTAGGTGTAATCACATATCTCGGGACCTGTTCGACCGATTTTAACCAAATACATACGGTTCATAACATTATTCTGATATTCCTGTCTTATGTGAAAATGGGCAAATCGAACTAAATCCACGCCCATTTCCAATATAACACAATTTTAAATTCCATCTGATTCTTTCACAATTCAGTGTACAAATAAAGCACCAATTAATATAACGAAATAAAAACGAAGTATGTCACCTTGTGACTAAAAAATGTCCAAATCGAGCCAAAACTGTTCAAGGCCCTAGGTACCGATTATGTGGACTCCTGTTCATATTGCGAACTTTTTATCGATAATATCGGTCAATGTGTGAGATATATAATTATAATTTGGAGAGAATCCTTTCCTGCTATTACTCTCTATGCCACATATTGAACATGTGATCATTTATGATAATAATTAATTTGATATGCAATTACAATTACATTTATCATAAATACGAAAACTGCGATATTTTTTTCGAAGTTGAATTACATATATACAATACAAATATACAATACATACACATACACCTTTTTGTTGCATTTGCATATTCAAGAAGTGTCTTTGTCTACAGGAAAACCGCAGACAGCAACGCGCAATCATTTGGTTATTTTCTTGTTGTCGTGTCGCTCCCCGTGAGTCGACTGCAGAAAATATTTTAATGGAAGCTGTCAAAAAGCACCACCGCTGAAACAACGGCGCAGCAACACAAGTACCACGAATGCAAATCAACGGCGTAGAATGCGAGGAATGTCTTATGACCAAAGTAATGACCAGACGAACTGACAGATCGATGAATTGCAATGCTTGCCACCACACATAGACACTCGAATACTCGTGCTAAAATGAATGCTGCGAAGAGTTGGAGTGGCAGTACGAAAGTGCGCTTTACGCTTGGCGAATGGTCAGTGGCGCGAAGGGTGGATAAGCCACAAATAGTAGAACAGCTAAGCAAACGAATATCCATACTGAGTAGGTAGGTGGACAGATCAAATGGAGTGCTGCCGTGTTTTGTGAACTCACCCGCGGGATACGCTCACAGTTTAGCACTTAAACTAAGTTTTGAATGTAAGGCAATTGCAGACGAAGACAAAGGTGAGCCAGCGAAATTCGCATACTCGCACCAAGTTTGTATGTATGCACATCTATGCATGCACTTAGACTGGCGAGTCACCCAAGCAAAATGGCAAAGCGACAGACAAATCGTCGAGTGCAAACGGTGTGTTGCACAAATAAGCTGATAGAAAAGGTGGATTTTACATGAGTTGATGGCCAGCAAGTAACTGGTTGGGGAAATGCTTATGTAGTCGATAGGTTGCTCGTTTCCTTACATGATTGTTCGTTGCTTAGGAAGCTCAACAAATAGAATTTAATGAATTGCCAGCAAGTTCACTAGCCCGCCAACTGTCCACTTATACACACAAGTATTCTAGGAGCTGGTGTATGGCTGACTAACTGACTGACCCGACTTTACGGCTGACTAAGTAAAAAGCACAACATCGACTAAGAGCTAAATTTCCTTACTTATGTGCTGCCAGCCAGTATTTTTGGAGTGGTATATGTGATTTTCAACACCGTTAGGTGGCCAATATGGCAATGACGCTGCTCATGTGCAACATCCCAAGCGGCTACCTTGGCAATGGCTTGCAGTGTGGTTAGTTATTGCATTCTCTCATTGTTGGTGGCAATGTAATACATTTTTGATGCGTCTAAATTTGCTGCCTGGAAGTGGCATTGCGAGGCGTATGTATGTATATAATGCCATAAATATTGCAGTTTAGATATAAATCCCATGTATCTGGCTGTCAATTTTCTAACTAATTTCTATAACAATAAAATACTCTACTTATACTAGCGGTATATTTATGCCAAAAACAAAAACAAATTGTAAAGATATAAAATTACCAACTAGTCATTCAACAAGTCAAACAGTCTGCCAGCCAGTCAGCTAGTCAACCAATTGGCCAAGCATAGCCACCAGCACTTTCAACGGAACCTCAAGCGACACACATATTAGCGCCTTATTGGCGATAGTGGTGGTTGTGGCATCTGACCCTTGGCAAAGAACCGCAATACTCGAGAAACTAACTGACAAACATAGTGACAGCCGCACTGGCAGTAGCATTGGCATGTATATACATGCATATACCATATGTCTATATGTAGCTGGTTTAACCACTTTCCAAAAGTGGATTTTGCAGCCACTCATACACTTGTACATACATATTTCAGCTGCACTATACATAGAGGTTTTACTAAATACAGTTCTGCATGCCTTGCACTGGCGCTGTGGCGGCAAGATACCTTGTGCTTCGCCACAAAGGCAACTCATCCGCTCCATTCGCATGCCATTCTGAGGAAATGCGCATATTTAGTTGGTAAGAGACGAAAATTAAAACGAAAATCTGCACATTGCAGTTGTGGGCCAAAACGTGTAAGGTGAAATGACGAGTGTTAACGATTCTTGAATTATGTCTGCAGTCAAAGGTGCGCATGCGCACATACATATTTATGACTTAACACTGATAAACATTTGTATTTGTGAGATATGTTTTTAATTAGCTACATTTACAAAAATATATAAAAAAAATAAAATATATAAGTAAATATATAAAAAAAAATATACTTCAGTTTTTGTCGCAGTGAATTGTTGCAAATTGCCCACCTCGGTTACTGAAGAATGCAATAATGCTATTAGAACCTACTTCTTTCTTCTACGGGATGTTTTATTATATCGGAAAATTTTCTACAAATTACTTTTTGACGATTTGATGTGAGCAACTGTGATAAGGATTCGTTGGATATAGCATTTTGAGTGCCACAAATTGAAAGAGGTTTACTAAATTATGAAAACGATATAATATCGAAGTGGAGTTTTCGCACTTACTATAGCATAAGAGGGAATTAAAAGGTCTCTTTCTTGATTTTGATCGCTCACTTTGCATGGCAGCTATATGCTATAGTAGTCCGATCTAAAGAATTCGTTCGGAAGTTAAAGTGTTGCTTTGAGGAATAATTGATGACAAAATTCGTAAAGATATATTGTCAAACTATAAATTTTCAATACAAGATATTGATTTTAATCGGTTAGTTTGTATGGCAGCTTATGATATAGTCTTGCGATATGGGCGGTTCCGACAACTGAGCAGGTTTTTGGGAAGAAAAGGACGTGTGCAAAATTTCAGATCGATATCTCAAAAACTAAGACTAGTTCGCGTATATAATGACAGACGGATGTGGCTAAATCGACTCAGCTCGTCGCGATCATCATTTATTTATCAAACAAAAAATTAACAACCTACGTGGCAATCTTATACTACCCTGGTCAGAGTATAAAAGTATTCCAATCGAAATAGTGCGCCAACACATCATAGATCAACATATGGAGGTAAAATAATTCTGTGTTGATATGTTCATACCAGACACATTTTATTCTAAGGATTCGAGAGACAATCTAATATCACCCACTTTTCGAATCATGACTAGAGGCTTGCAGCTTTAAAACTTCAAATTAAACTATGCTTACGTAGAAACCTACTTTAGTAAAATTTGTTTTTATAAGTAAAATATATGAATATTTTTATATGATCAAGAAGACGAGGCGAGTTGAAATCCGGGTAACCGTCTGTCCTTCCGTCTGTGCAGCGATAATTTTAGTAAAAATTTAGATATCTTGACAAAATTTCTATAATGTGATAAAATTATATAATATTTTTTTTACTTAGTTCAAACTAATATTTAGTACCAATAATTTATTAATTCAACTTCGAATTGGTAATTCTGCATTGAAAATTACTTTTCATTTAAGAAGTATATGCACTCTTCTGTTAAATTTATTAATTCAAGTTTCAATACCTACAATTTTGAAAACTTTGTTTTTATTCTTTATGTTGAATAGATAGATACTTTTTTCTTATTTCTGCGTTGAGTTCCAACATATACATATTTTTTTAGCAAGAGTTATCACAGTAGAGATTTTCTAAAAAGTAACTTTTTTATTTCCCCAAATTATATAGACATATAATTATACTTCACTCTCTCTTTGCAAGTTTGTTTTGTCATACATACATACATCCAGTTTTACGATACTAATGTCCTTGCCATTTGTGCAAAATACCAGAAATTAAAGTTTCTTTCAAAATCAATCCAACAATCATCCAAAACTACAGAATTGATACAATTTTTTTCATTTTAAAAATTGTATTTTGCATTTATTTGAGTATTTATAAATTGTTTCCTCTTTTCTTTCGTCCTGCTGCCAGTACATATACTAAAATATTTTGTTTTTTTGCTATTATCCTTGGTTTTTTTAAAGCCATATCGAATTCTTTATCAGCGGAATACTTGCAGTATTATATGTTCGTTCGTTCATTTTAAAATTAGGTCTTAACTTTTAGTGAAATTATTTCAATAACACATTGATCCACAAAAATGTTTAACTTACGGCACGCAAAACTGCTGTCGGTCTTTCTGTACACGAACCTCGTAAGCGTTTTCAGTGTAATTTTTCAATTGCAAAGATCACTTTTAAATTTCAAAACCGTGTTTTTTAATTCGCACAAAAAAATTCGCACAAAATTCACTTTTTCAGAAAGTTTACTTTCAAACACAAATCGCATAAATTTCTGAAATATTTTTTACATTAGTGTACACGATCTTGCTCAAAATTAAATAAAAAGATTCGCTACAGTCAAAATATTTCCAAATGAAAATGTTGCGAAATTTCAATAGAAATATTTAATTTTCTTCTTTTTTTTTTAAGTCATCTAGATGTGCGTGCACGTTACAAACATACGTGAAAATGTCCCAATGCGTTAACACGTCCGACCGATATGATGGTCAGCAACAAACTGAAGAAGAGCCAACCATCAACGGATTTAAGAACGGCTTTGTTGGAGCTGAAGACTGTCGGCTCGCTGGCTGGCTGGGTGGATAGCTAGTTGGCTGAAGAAGATGCCACAACATGACGGCGGCAAATCAGCAGTCCACTAAGCGGTGGCAATAGCGGCAGCGGCAAAAACAACAGCAAAGCGAAACTCAACAATTCATCGAGTAAACAAAAAAGAAACACCAGCGCTGAGTAACAATAAAGAGGGCAACAACAGTTGTGCTGAGCACTGTAAAAGCCTAGCGAAACAGCAAGCCAACGACGACGGCGGCACTCGAATCAGATTCACAGTCACAGTCAAGAGACATAACCAGAGCCGGAGCCAGAGTCAGTTTCAGAGTCAAAGCCAAAGTCATGGTCGTAGCGGCCGTCAACGCTGCACTCACCACTCACTCACGAGCGCGCAGCTCGTTAAAGTTCAAAGCGACGCCGACAGCGAAACAAACTGCGACAGCAATGCTGAGAACGAAGAAAAGCAGTAGTAGCGACCACAGCTGCGCCTGGAACAAGTCGATATCACAGAAAGCGAAGAAAGACTTGGAAGCGTACGCAAAAAAGTAAGTCAAAAGCGTAGAGAAAGAAAGAAAAGCGGAGAAGTTACAATGAGATACCAGCGCACACTGGTACATTAGGGTGGGTTAAAAAAAAGAGAATATTTTCTTGCTTGGAACTCTATAAAATTGGTTTATAGACACCTCTAAAAAAGTCAAGTCAAGTATAAGCTCTTAATTGTAACGGGCAGGTCCACCGTCTTGCCGTTTTCTATTTTTTCTTATTATCAGATTTAAAAATTCAAATCTCACTTTTAAGGTACATATATATTTGTATATGTGCATACACACATACATATTATTGTGAGATCCTATCGAGGTAGTGAAGGAAGTAATATATCGATCAGCAAACGCTGCAGTGTATGAAGAAACAGCAGAGAGTATATTAAGTCAAATCGCAAGAAAATAGTTGCTGCTGCTACTGTTGCTGCTCTTTCTGCTGTTGGTTTTGCGATTGGTGTTGCTGTTAATAGTTGCTGCGGCCGATTTTACTGTTGTTGCTGCTTCGGCCGTTGGTTAGTTGCTAGCTGTTACCTGTTAGCTTTTTGCTGTTGGCTTAGTTTGATCGTCTACGTTGGCTCGGAGCGTTGCGATGGCAAGTTCCTCCGCGTTCGCTTAATTTGCCAAGCAAGTGCAGCCGAACTCAGAAATGCACAAAGCGCATGAGCACACGAGAATATAGATGCCTGCTTTTTGACTGAGGCACAAGCGCATATCATTTACATACAAGTATGTGCGTATGTAATGCATGTGAACTCGCCACTTACCGCTATGTTTTGCTGCTGCTGATCTCGTCTCTATTGAAAGAAGCTTTGAAATCAACAGCCGCCAAGATAAACAAGTCATACGTAAAATCATGAATACGTATGTATGTATGAAAGTATGTGTGCTGGTAAATATGCAAAACACGTTTGAAATGTATTTTCACTGCATCCTTAACTTCGCAGATTTAAAGTAATAAAAATTGCATGCTACAACAACAATTATGAGCAGGTACATTCAGAACACATTGAGATTTGTAATTTCACATACATATAGTTACAGACATACCATCGTGCATATATGCTAACGATTGTATACATATACATATGTATATTTAAATGTGGAGCTTCATTTTCCGCTCTTTCGGCGACAGCACTTCTTCAAATCTTTAACTTCATCGACGCCGCCACTTAGTCACAGTGAGCCTCGAGTAGTTTTAAATCATACCGTATTACGTTTGCTCAGTATTGCACATGTATGTACATATATATATGCTAGAATTTGCATATATCTACATATTTACACACATATTGTTATAATACTATTTCTACATGCGTTAGAACATCAATGTGAGTCTTCTTGAAAGAGCTCTTACTAAGAAAATGATATTTTTAACTTAAAAAATTATTACATATGTACATACCTGTTTGTACATACATATGAACTACAGGCACTGTCACCGCTTAAATTTAAATATTTTGATAAATTTACTTGTAGTATAAAATTCAATTCCTATCAATTGATGTCTTAATATTGTATAACGATTCGTAATCAGAAATGCAACGAACGAAGTTCTGAGCCTGAAGACCGCTTAATATTACCGTACTCTTTGGTTTTGTTACTAGCGGTAATATCGGTTGGAATTTAATTTTCATGTTACAAATTTATACATATTAAGAAAAAACATTAATTTCGATTGCACTGAAGCTATGATACCTCACAAATAAAAAAGTACGTTTCTTTAAACGTTCAGTTTGTATGGCAGCCCGATTTGAACATTTTTTTCGGAGATAATAACGTTGCCTCAGACTAATGCCAAATTTTGTGAAGATAACTTATTAACCAAAAAAGTTTTCTGTACAAAAACTTTATTTTGATTCCTTAGTTTATATGACAGTTATATGCTATAGTTGTCCGTATGAAAAATTTCAGATCGATATCTTAAGAACTGAGGACTAAATTCGCGTATATATAGACAGACGGACATGGCTAAATCGTCTCAGCTCGTCACGCTGACCATTTATATATTTATTTTGTAGGGTCACAGATTTTTCCCTCTGGGTGCAACAAGCTTCGTGGTAAACATAGTATACCCTTTTAAGAGTATAATAATGCAGCATATTCCAACAAGTTAAATATAAAAGCAACATCAAGAACTTTCAAAGCGGCTTTTTTCTTTTAATTGAACCCTCATAGTTTAAAAAAAGTATACAATAGAGGTGTGAACAATTCAATATGAATAACTTTGTACCCAATATATTAGGGATCACCCCTAAAAAAACTAAAACTTCGCGTTTATTTTGTTGCACAACTGAGTTTGTGTTTCGAATTTAATTAGTACAATATTACACAAAAAAATCCAAAATATATAAATTTATATTATATTATAAATTATCGAAATGGGAGTCGCTGAATGGAGCCTCATCGCGTGCGGGACGGTTCTAAATAAAATCATGTGGCGCTCCGAATCTTTGACGAAAGGAAAGATGTTGTAGCGCGTCAGATTGCAGAATAGTCGAAATAGGTTGACAAATTGATTGTCTTTAAGCAAATGCGGTGGGGGCCATGATCTCGTCCTTTTTGTTATTTGGTGATGTCATCGTGTGTGGTGGTATCTGCTGTGGTGATATCCTCTGGAATATGGTCGTGCATGGTGTGATTGTGAGTAGTGTTTGCATTTTACTAGGGTGTGCCTATATTGTTTCTACTACTACAAGGGGAAGGCTTAGCTCATTTAAACACAATATTATATATAACAAGTGGCCTCAAAAATTCCAGGATGATTTTCTTAAGGTATGAGGACAGGAAATAGTCACTGGGGACGAGATCTGGGGAATATGCTGTATGCGAACGCAATGTGAAACAATTTTATCATCATTGACGTTGCACTGTCTCGATTCTAAGCTCGCGACAGCCAGCTGTGAAATTTATACACGTGTTTTTTGTAGGTGATGTCTAACTTCAAAATATCTGAATTCACTTCGTGCTCTTTTAGAAATGCTACTAATATTTAAACTCAAAAAAGTGCTTCCATGCACAAATAAATGAGATGTTTAAAGGTGCCAAATTGGACCTAAAATCCTATCTTTACGAAGATCATCTAAATTAGCGTCACTCATTTTCAAAAAGAAATCAAATTTAGTAGAATTGTTAATCTTACTCAATAAGTAAAAAAAATTTATTTTTCAACAGCGGTTTCCAATTTGTTAAATCTTGAACAGTGGTAAAGTTAGCGGGTTAATTAAATAGAAATGGAATAATAAGCAGTTGCACCACTTTGCTGAGCTGTCCCTGTATTATATGCTATAATATTAAATAGCTTAACTTGACTAACTTTGGTGCTTTTTTTAACATATAAAATTTATGAAGACGGCTACAATTTCATCCATTATAAATAAATGCCATGTTACTAATTAATGTTTTATCCACATTTCTCGAAGTGAGTATCGATATATTTCACTTTTCTCAGTTGTATAGAAAATGAATGCAACTCAATTCATCCAAGTCTATTACTGCCACATAATGACTTGTGGTATAACTATTTCCCTGAAATGGAATGCTCCAAATAATTTACATCTGCAACAAGTAGTTGTAAATTTCAATACACGCACAAATACAATGTAAACAGGCGACAACGTTAATGTTCAATGGAAACCACCGCTAATGTTTTCGCAGAGCATGGACGAGAACACTCAAAATATTAAATTAAAGCAGAAAGTAAAACGCATCGACCCAAAAAGCAGCAAGCGGCGATCGAAGAAGGCACAGAAACACAGTAGGAGTACAGCTTCTAGATACTGTGAAGCGAAAGTGTGAAAAATTTCTAAAAAAAAAAAACAACAGAAAATGTAATTTTAAATTTTTACTTTCAAACTTAAACTGTTTTTGGGGCATGTACGCATGGTTTCTAGATACTAGTATAATGTGAAATTTTAATATAATCAATTTTTAAATTACTTCAATATTTTGTAATTTTACCATTAATTCAATAGGCAGTTAATAACTAAATAGCGCCTGTCGCTATTTTGTTTGCAATGGGAAAAAGTTAATTCGCGGTCTGAAAAAATATTATTTTCTGTTAAGAAAAGAACGAAAATTCTTGAATCAAGCCTTACGCGCGTCGAATGCTGCGTTTTTTGAACATGAATTAAAAACCAACGGCTCAAATAAGAACGAGTACCGGATCATTTTGTTACAATGGATGAAACATGGATACATCAATATACCTTGAGTCTAATCGGCAGTCCGCTGAATGATTCTTGCATTGTGAAAATTGTGCAAACCGACCGAAAAACAACAGTCGGCCAGTCGATTTCCTTGATAATTTTTTTTTGGAAAAGCTTCTAGCCTTATTCGTTAACAAGATATATCTTGGAATAAACCTTGTTAATATACAAGTAGAATTTTATAAGTTAGACATATTCGCATTCTATATTTGTAACAATT